GTTAATTAATCTGACTATGGGTCAACGATAGTTTTAAAACCTTGGCATATAAACTAAAGATGGATATACCATGTCAAGTCAATGAGATTGGAATTGATATTAGAAGTTCAAATTTGGACCAATGGATCAAGTTAACTTTGACTGGACAGGGCTAGGGCAGATTAGTTTGTTTTTAATCTCTTATTAGCTCTCTCTCTATTGTAACCCCATGTTATAACGCAATTAGGAGTGCAATTTCGTCAAATTGGGTTGGGTTGGGGTCAACCTAAAGCTAACCCTAAGGCCTAACCCAATCTGAGATAAGTTGAATTAAGATTAACCTATTACAACTCAGCCTAAATTCGGACTTGTTAAGGCCGGAACAGATTGGTCTTAGTTTCAAAATATTTTATTTTATTTTATATTATACATTTGACATAGCTATATAATTTAACTTAAAAGTTGAATAAATTAAAATTATGCACAAATGCCATTAATAAATGCACGCATACATACATCTATACCATATAAAGTGGATAGTTGTCTTAAATTCCGCACAGGTGATAAAAATTAACTACTCTAAATGCCATATATCACACGTCTATAGTGGATGCATTTACACTAGTATATATATATAGGTTTGAGTTGGGTAAAGCTGGGCTTAGGATATTTGAGGCCTCAACCCAAGTCCAATATGTGCAAAAGGTTAGGTTAGGTTGAAACAAAGTTGGGTTGGGCCTGCCTAAATTGTAGTTTTAAATGTAATTATTTATTTTTTTTATTTGCTAAGCCAATGGGTTATAAATTCCCTACCTAAAAAGTAAATAAATAAAGGATAGCCCTCTCCCAAACCCCCAAGTAGGGGTCTCAATGGGTCAGGTTTGGGTTGGACCCATCTGAATCAAAGTTGATTGGAAAGGATAGGATGGACCAATAAGACATATTGAATTGGACCAGTCCATGTATTTTTTTTTTGCAGTTAAAATGTCCCTATGAACATTGAGTTTTTTATTGTAAAAAGGAGATAAGTCCTTAAAATAAGGAATGCCAAATGCAACCTTAATGGTCCAAAGTATTTATTGAATTGGATTTGACCTAGCCCATTTGTGGTGGATTTATATTGGACTTGGTTGAATTGAACCAAAATTTGGTCCATTGACATAAGATAAGAGTTCGGGTGTTAATGGGCTAGGTTTCGGTTGGACCCAATTAAAATTAAAATCAATTGGAACAGTTTGAATGGTCCAGCATTGAATTGGACCGGTCCAAAATGGGCCAAAGTATTAAACAGATTGAATTTGACTTGGTCCATCTGTAATGAATTCATACTGGATTGGACGGATTGGATCAATATCCAGTCTATTGACAACCCTACCCCAAATCCCCAACCTTGATGAAGATGGGATTAATTAAATCCAAGGATTCAAGGTTTTTGCAATAACTAGCTAGAAACTTTACTAACTGGTGAGTCCAAATAAGTTACAAATGAAGGCATGTATAGAGCTACAGATTCAATCAATAGTGTTCATTATTAAGTTTCTTTTATCATGTACCATCATTCA